CAATGCCGCAGCCGAGCGCCTTCAGTGGTCTTCCGTTCCGAGCCCTTCCATGTCCTCTCGACAACAACTTTTCACCTTCAGCGCAACCGAGGGCCAGGTAGAATTCCCTCCGAAGTAGCTTGTCTTGAATCGGACTAGTATTTCAGTTGTCTTTTCGCTTGCCCGTTCTTGCTTAGTGTTGGCGTGCTCTCTACTCGGCCGGTCCGACGGATACCCGCTTCTCTGTCTCTCTCAGTTCTATTTTCTGGCCGTTCCTGCAATCCGATGCATACGGCTAGTTCCTGAAAAAACGAGATACTATATATTTACAGCTTGAGTGAAGACACATACACAATATAAATTCCGCTTTACAAGTCAACGACGCTGATGTCCATGCCTTGATCTCGAAAGGCAAGCAACTGGTTCCTCACCGCAGGCGGGAGATTCGCACCGGGCTCCAGGTGCAATGAGAATACTTCCAAAGTAGCCCGCCCCTCTACAACCTTCCGCCTCGAGTGCAGCGCATCGAGCAGAGGATCAAACGATTCTTGGTTCCCCGCGCCATACGTGAGACGCAACGTTCCTAGCCTCGGCAGAACATGGGCGATCTGGAGCACATCTCTTAATTTCTCCAGCAAGCTGGTGGGGGGAAATGCCAACTCGAGGTCTTCGACGGCCGCGACGGCCTCCAGGAGGGCGAGGAACTGGGCGGGGGTGATATCTCTCGGCGAGCGGTAGGTTAAACGCTTCAAAGAGCAGGCAGAGCGCGCCAACAAAGCCCGCAAATCATCAATGAGTTGCTCCATCGTGCCGCTGGGTCCTGGGCCCCAAATGTCCAGCTGGGTGAGACTGGGGACGGTGACGAACGGGAGTATGTGTGTATTTAGGCTCCTCAGATACTGCAAGGCCGGGAGGACAATTGGTGGCATCGCGGTTGGGAGCCCTGGGTCGTCCATGAGCGCAATAACGAGGTTTTTGATGTTCGGGCACCGCTGCAATACGGCGAGGCCCGGAGCTGCTTCGTACACCGTTATCCTGAGCGTGGTCAGCTGCGCCCAGGGCATTTCCACCCTGAGGAAGGGAAAATCGGACAGGGTCAATTGGCGCAAGAGCGGAGCGGACGGGAGTGCGATTACTATGTCGTCTGAGGCTATCCCTCCCCGCATGGTCAGGCAAATAGACCGCAGCACGGGAAAAGGTCCATGCCCGTGAAGCGCCGAAAAGGACTCGTGGGGGAGCGCTAGATCAATATCTTGCCACCGCAAGCAAGATTTCACGCTCTCTGCAAGAAGCGCTGCCGCTCGATCGGGATCACTGGTTCGCAGCTGGATATTCCTGGGGAGGCTCCGCGCACGAGAACCCCACACCGCAAGGACTTGCGGAGGAACGGTCGGAGTACTGTCGTCGAGCCTGATGGATTGCCATAATTCAGACGTGTTGAGACTGATCTCTCGCCACTGTCTAGAGACGGCCGTGAAGGCAAGAGGAGCCTCGGTACGAATTGGCCTCGGAAAACGCTGCGTTTCACTGTTTGCAATGAGGGTTTCGAGCATTATTTGCTGCGTGAGTTCCGTCGGGACCGTCAAGATGGGAGGGGGGACCATGGCCGCAGTTCCGCGGGAGTTGGTCTAGGGACAAGTCAGTTTTCTGGCGCATGGCGAGACGGAGGCCCATTAGATAAAAAAAGAGGTGAAAAATGCGTAGTGGGAAGAAGTTAAATAAAGAATAAAAAAACACTCACCTCAGCTAGTGGCCTGGGAGGTATAGTTGAAGGCAAGAAGCTTCAAGATGCTCGGTAGCGCTCACGAGCTCAATTTGATATGATTCTGAGACAAGTCCTGATCCCAATATGAATCATAGATGGCCTCAATGGCCTAAGCCGTAAACGGAAACTTAGGGAGGGGGGGGTATGTCTGTAACAGTATGTTGAAGCGTTTTCGCAGTTCAGTTACACGCGGGGGCGGAAGAATCAGAGTTGACGCCTCAGAGTCAGTTTGTATTTATCGCACCCAAGAATACGCACGGTCATATTCAATTTAGTTTAAAGCTCCAAAGCGTGCAGAACAAAATATATCGAGGAACGAACGTCGCGCCAGTGCGGAAGGTGGACAGAGAGGCAACGTTTCATATCTCCAATCAAAAGCGGACTGGCCATGGACATAAGCTGCGACAAAAAGGCGAAACAATTCCAAACGAACATTCATGTTTCAACACCAAAAGAAATCATCGGGAATGCTTTACGGTAGGCTGAGATTGCAACGTTGAATTCCGTTCCCCTTATGAAGGACACTTCCTGTAATTTGCAGCTGGATTTCGATATGAATGAGGGCATTGTACCGATGCAGTTGGGCCCGAGAAATCGCTCTGAGATTCGGAGATTCTGAAGAGAAGGAACAATGAGGGTGTTGGGATATCCAGGGATCGACCCTCAGCCAATACCGCCAACGATCGCAAAGATGGGAGTGTGATGTCAGGAATGCCTTGCTTGTCGTCGTAGACCATATATAGCTCGCATTGCTCAAGGTTCGATGTGTGCCGTAGAATTAGGACACATTCCCGGGTATACCGTGTTCACCGCCAACGACGCTAGTGCCGAGCAGTCGATCAAGTATACCCAAGACACGGCAAACTTTTGGGATGGGTCGTCTTGCAGTGCAAAGCCTTGACGCTGCAGCCGGCGCAGGATATTATATAGAACCGACGTCTACACCCAGACAGTACAACGAACGACGCAGCGCAGACCTGATATGCATACGGAAGGCATAAAATTCGTCGATAGGGCACATGCGGGCATAGAAGGAATGAAACCACAGCAAGATACGATACGATACGTGACGGTGGTGGTGTATCTACTCCTTGACGGCACCCTCCTCGACAGCGAGGAACCCGGCTCGCTTCTCCTGCACGCGGGCAGCGCGACGTTCGCGGGCCGCCTGTACAGCGAGATCAGCATTGTGAAGATGACGAAAAAAGGGAGGGAAGGGGGCATACCTTGTTCTTGACACGGCGGGCCTCCATCTGGTCGGTGAGGACCTTGGTGCGGCTCTTCTCGGCTTTCGCCTTGTGGATGTACTCCATGAGAACGCGCTTGTTCTTGAACACGTTACCCTTGGATTTTTGGTAGAGCGAGTGGTACCTGCGGCGCCATGAGTGACTGTGTAGCGCAAAGAGACGAGAAGACGCACAGGTGCTTGTCGATTTTGCCAGCCTCTCTGTACTTCCTCAGCAGCCGCCGCAGCACACGCTGGCGCCTCATCCAGAGGACCTTCGTCGGCATCCGGGCCTCGGCCGTACCCTTTCTCTTACCGGTACCAGTGTGCCGCCCCTTTCTCTTCGCGGCCAACAGTGCGCGAGTCCGTGCGCGCGAGTGGACGGTGGTGGGCTTGACGATGATGTCGCCCTCCTTTATCAGCTTCTTGACGTGGGCGCGGGAGTTGGCATTCCCGATCTCCGACTGCTCGGCGGGGTTGAGCCAGATTTTGCGCTGCCCGACGCCCTTGACGGAGGCGGCGAGGCGTTTTTGGGAACGAAGATTAACTGGATTTGGGGGTTACGGGGTGAAAAACGAGCAAGACAACAGCATACCCATCGTCCGTGGTGGGTCTGGCAAAGGGTCAGTAAAAGAACAAGAAAAGAAAAGTGCCGACTCACCTTGAGGATGAGCGTCGGAAGCGGGGGTTAGATTTAGTCAGCAGCTGTACAGTCCATACGACTCACGCGGCCCCATCATCCCATCACTTCGGCATCCGCTACGCCTCAGTCCAAATCAGGCAACTCGTTAGTTCTGTCTTTCGGGCCTACATTCAAAGCTCCAAGGACTCATTTGACCCGGCGTCGGAACTGGGTTAAATTACACAGCAGGTGAACTGAACGCGTGCACCCCACCGACGTATATATATTCCGACCAATTGACATTCACAACCCTTCTCTGAACCAACTCTGAACCGTTTCTTCTTCCCTTTGACTTTCAGAAACGCCGTATTGACTAGAACCATTTAAATAGGTTTCCAGGACAAAAACATCTTGGTTCCGTCTCCACGCCGGGTGCCGGGAGTTGAACCCGGAACAGCTGCTGCAGTGGCAGCTGCACCCTTTCATTGTGATTCATATGCCACGCCCGCTTGGTATGGGTGGTGTGGGATGAAGTACCCTCCCTGTTTGCGTACAGCTATTTAGGAAGCACTCCGCCTCCAGTGTAGAGAGAATGGCTCAAAATTCAAGTTTCTAGGTACTGGTTTGAATTCTCTCTTCTTCTCCGATAATAACCTACCTGGATTAACCCATCCAGAGCATTCAAATCCAGAATTAAGGCCGGGACAAAAAAATTCTATCTTTGAACATACCCAATATGCGGGTGCCAGGAATCGAACCCGGGACAGCTGCTGAAACTTTCGACTCCTGCTTCTTTCGCAACCGGCAGGTCCGACGAAGTTGGTTCAAAATTAAACACTTAGCCATGCCCACAAAGCCCCCTTTTGAACTGATCGTTTCGGTCGACTCGAAAGCTGATTCACCCGTTTCCTTACATCGGGGGCTCGGATGCCCGCAACTTGGAGTAAGTATATAAGTTATAAAAAAGTGCGGCGGAGAATTCAACCAAGAGTTCAATTTGGGTTCGAGTTCGAGTTCTGTTCAGAAGTTCCTTGAGTTGACTTCATTCATTCATACTCACGAACTCCTTCCCAACAAGCGGGCGTGGTGAACGGTTCACCGCTGTGTTCAATGTTGATCCTTCTGCGGCGATTCAGAACACTTGAAGCAGCAATTATGGGTTCGACTCCCGGCACCTGCGTTAATATTGTTGGGTTTCTTTTTTCGGCCGCCCGCTCTGGAACAGTTGAACTGGAAGAATCCCAAAGGCCACGAAGCAAGGAAGTGGCGCCCAAATGGCACTTACCATTTTCAACGAACCACAAAACTCAAGAAACCTGCAGCTTCGTCTCCGTGCCAAGCCAGACCGAAATTTCGAAGGCCCGCTTCAAAACTTCCCAGCATGTACGCTGTACTTTCGTACCTACCAAGCGGGTGTGGTGAGTGGCTCACGGCCGCTTTCAATTAGTGATTCCGGTTGACAACAGTAATTCGGCAATTCTGGGTTCGATTCCCAGCACCCGCGTGGCAGCGACCAACCATGGACGTTTTTTGTCCGCCGCCTCGCCGACAAAACAAGTTCGAGGTTGAATCGACACTTACCATCTGCAATGTGCAATGAAATGGTCTACAAAACCCAAGACAGTTCGGCGCAGCTTCGTCTTGGCTTCGTCTGCATGCAGACCGAAATCTAATTGATCGAAATTCACCAGCATATCCAATATACTTCAGCATCGGACAAGCGGGTGTGGCGAATGGTTCACCACTGCGTTCAATTACTGGCTTCTATGGATGCTTACGATGAGCAAGCAGCTGTCCGGGTTCGATTCCTAGCACCCGCGTCCACGGCTTTATGTAAACCAATTTTTTTTTTTCGTCACCCCGCCCCGCCCCGCTCCGACCAAGAACAAGGTAAGCAACAAACAGCTGTTGGTCAGCCCTACTCCTTATTTTCGAAAACGAAAGAAATCTCATCCATCGTGGGCTTGAAAAGCGCAGGTCCTGACCACCATTCAAACGGGTGTGGTGAACGGTTCATGGCTGCACCTTCACTGCATATGTGAAAGTGAAGCAGCTAGGTCCTGGTTTGACTCCCAGCACCCACATCACGGTGGCGCCTCATTTTTTCCCGCCCGGCAAAGAGAAGAAACAATTGGGCAGGAGAGACGGAGGCGAGGTACGGCAAGCCGGAGAGGTACACAATCGAGAGGGCGACGGACATCGCGAGGTTATCGTGCACTAGCACCGTATTTTGCTCAGGAACGAGCGGATGTAGTGCGCACTCCCGGATCGACTTCAGTTGTGTCCATCCACATCTTACAAGTCGCAAGTCGGACGGGCTGCTGATCGTCGGATTCATACTCAGCGCACGCGGTAATTGCAGGATCCCAAATGCAATGCAAGTGATTTCGTGGTAGCGGAATACAAGCAAAAAAACGTAGACAGATCAATCGAAGAGACCGAAGCCCTGTCGGACGCTGAGTGAGCGGTGAACGGACAAGAACGTGGGCGACTCGACTGACCATGTCGTCGTCTGACTCCTCCTTCTCCTCCTCCTTGGCCTCCTCCTTCGGTGCCTCAGCAGCGGCAGCCGGGGCACCGCCAGCAGCGGGTGCAGAGCCAGCGGCGGGTGCGCCTCCACCAGCACCGACGTTTGAGAGGAGGTCTTTTACGTTCTTGCCCTCAAGGGCCTTGGCCAGCAGTGTTGCCCAGATCGGCTCCAGCTCGACGTTGGCTGCGCTTGTCAGCGTAACAATTTTGTCGGACTGCGATTCTTTTTCAATGTACGGCTCAGGAACACACGGAATGAGGACTGACGGTGATTTCAATGCCATCGTCGCAGAGGATGAGGGCAGCGTAGGTGGCTGCGAGTTCGACGGAGGCCTGTAAATTTTTTCAGCACATCGTCATCCGAATCATCCGGGCTGCATCCAGCGCTCTACGCCATCCCGCGCGCTGGTACGGCGGCAGCGGTCTTCTGGACGCATCCCGGGGGTGCTCGGGCACTCACCATTTTATCTAGGGGTGGTTAGAGCGAGATGGAATGCGAGAGCGCGATGCGGGAGACAGAGCCGTGCGAGTTTCGATCTGACAGCTCTTGCCGAGCCGGCATGTTGATCTCACCCACCATTCACTCAAACCCGCGGGCTCTTATGCTCAGCGCCCTTGAACCGGATCGTGCCCGTGTCGCGGTTCGAGACACCAAACCTTCGATCTCGAACACACCATCCCCGTACTGCGACTGGCTCTTTCTAATTATTTGATCATTCTCAACCCACAATTCAGGGAAAAGTATAATTTGGCCAATGACCTGTGCAACCCGGGACGTCTTTACCGACCGTCGATCCTCTGAGATCCCTTTGGTCCTCGCCTCCCTCACCCTGCACCAAAAACAACACAAGCTGGAACGGCTGCGATATTAATCCATGCAACATTCGTAACAAACCCGGCGTCTGACCCTCATCCTCTGTAAGCTCTCGCAGGAGACGAACAGCGCGTATTGAACCTACCAGCAACAACGCGCTGCTAGTTCTTGGAACTTGCGCTCTGGGGCACGACTCGGAGCGCGGCACACTATTTCTGGTTCACCTCGCTGGGATGAACCCGCTAACCATGGTAGCTGTTCCCCAGTCAGTCGTTACATTCCGCGATCCGTCAGATGCTTGGTGATAGATAAACTCACGTAAATCCCTTCAGTTTATCGGCATCACCTTAGGGTCTCCATCGTGCGCATCGTACTCGCATTTAAATCGTGAACGACCACAAATAGTCGTCGGAAAGACAACCGAACTATTCCCTCAAGTCGTACATTATTACTTGGAAGATGAATGTCATAACGAAGTTCGCCGCCCGATATTCGGAAAGGCAACCGAATCTTCGTCCCACTCGAGATTGAACATCGCTGGAGGGACAACTCGATTACTTGGAATACGACTGTCAAAACGATGTTCTCCGCCCGACACCGCTCTGGGCAACGTCCCGCAACGCAGATATGGCATGTGTTGAACAGTAAACCTCCAACTTGAACTTACCAATTGGAAACATGAAATCTATAAATCCCCGCAGGAATTTTTTGCACCTTCTCCAACTCCACCTTTTCCTTCTTTCCTAAATCTTCCTCGCAACGAATTCCATCCAATCATGGTTCAACGAACGACCAAGCTCGGAGGAACTGCGTCCGATACTACTGTCGGCGGTGTTGCTGTGCGCGCCTTTCATTCCACTTCCCGGTTTATGAAAGACATTAACATCCGTCTAACAGCACGGTCTAATGATGATGACGTGCGCCCCTCCCAAGTCACCCCAGCCTTCGTTGACGCAACCCACAGCTGGACCCCCACTCCCGCACCCGACGCACAATGCTTCGCCGCCATCAAAGCCGGCGTCGACGCCCTCCTCGCGGGCGCAAAGATGTTCCTCAACAGCGCCGAATTCTACGCCATGGACATGGGGACGGCCAACCTCGAGATGCTCGCGCGATTCTACGCGCGCTATCCCGAGTACGCGGACAGGACGTTCCTGTCCGTCAAGGGCGCGGTGCGCGACCGGGCGCCAGACAATTCGTACGTCTCCACGCCCAGCTTCAAGGAATCCAGGTACATATGGCAGCTGACTCCGTCCAGCCCAGACAGCCTCCGCGCCAGCGTGTCGGTCATCCAGCGCGCCCTCGGCCCGCACAAGACACTCGACCTCTTCCAGCCCGCGCGCATCGACCGCGCCGTTCCCATCGAAGAAACGATGCACACCCTCGCCGCGCTCGTCGCCGAGGGCCAGTTCGCACATATCGGGCTCTCGGAATGCAGCGCCGCCACGCTGCGCAGGGCTCACGCCGTCTACCCCGTCACCGCGGTCGAAATCGAGGTCAGCCCGTTCTCGTACGAGGCGGAGCAGAGGCGGGTGATCGCGGCAGCGGCGGAGCTGGGGGTTTCGGTCGTGGCATATTCGTAGGTGGATCGTTCGGATGCGCAGACTCGGTGGACTGAACGAGATTCTTTTGGATTTTCTGGCAGCTCCCTCGGACGCGGGTTCCTCACTGGGAAGATTAAGAGTGCGGCGGATATGCAGGGTACGCCGTATACCAATTTATTTTCTTCTCTTTGCGCTGCCTGCTGAACCCACAAACCGCAGACGGCGACATCCGTTCCAGATACACCCGCTTCAAGGACGAGAACCTCAAGGCCAACCTCCTCGTCGTGAAGGCGCTGGAAGCGATGACGAAGTGCAAGGGAATCACCGTCGCGCAGTTGTGCATCGCGTGGGTCGCAGCCCAAGGCGCGCATGTTATCCCTCTCCCCGGATCCTCGTACGTCCTCTTCTTCGGTCATACTTCCGGTGGCATTTATTGCAGCGGTGCTAACTGGGACTCTGTGGCAGGAAAGCGACGCGCACGCTGGAAAACCTTGAAGGCGGCGACGTCGTGCTCGATGCGGGCGAAGTGGAGGAATTGAGTGGGATTGTTGCCAAGCATGGAGTCAAGGGGGATCGCGGCATGGGGCTCACTGAGGAGCAGCAGCATTATTGGGGTTAGCGGAGCCAGTTCGGGTGCATGCCAGTGATTTGCCGCGCTCCGAGTCCTACCCAGAGCTACTGGCAGCTTGTTCATGTTGGTATTCATATTTAATGCGGCGCGGTGGTCTCCTGCGACTCGCAGAGCTTGTAGTAGCTGACGAGGCTCAATGCTCGTAATGCGACATTGCAGGCTTCTCGTTAGTTTATTTTTCCATGGAGAGGGAGCCTAGGCCTAGCCACAAGAGATACTTGTCGAATGAAGGCCGACGAACTTCGCAGTCACTAGTAGGCAATCTCGCGTGGGGAATATTGTTGCGACATGAAGGGTGTGCAATTGAGAGGACGCGGATGGGCTCATCCAAAAAAAATAGAGCCAATAACAGGAAATTAGCCACTCAGGCGTGAGCGCGAGACGAGAGCCGCGAATCAACGTTGATATCAAAATCACACGGTCGCGGGTGCCTCTAGAGCTTCGCATAGCTTCGCGTCTCTCCCAAGTCTGAGCTATGGACTGCTGCGTGCTGGGCCTGTATCGGTGTCAAGATCTCTCCAAGATGTACTCGAAATTAATCGCACCTGGAACGACCTCTGGCTTTAATCGGGCTCCAAATTCCCTGGATTCTGCAAGTTGGATTATGAACTGTACTCGGGCTCTGGAACTCTCTCTCCAATCCTTCATTCAGTTCAAGCCCTTACCAGAGTTTCCTAGTATCCCTGAGGCAGACGGAGAACTGGGGCCGACCTTCGCAAGCTCAGGATCGTCAGAACAAGGAATACCCTGAGGCACGCAGGTTTCAAAGGAATTGTCCTACTCTGCCTCAGTAACTTTGAGAATACTTGGAGGAATCCGATCGATCGAGAGGCTCGAGTATAAATACGCCCCAACGTCAGCCACCCTCGCATTCACTCTCCTCCCCACCACCACCACCACCACACTCTCTACGCACACTTTCTTTCTCATGCCATCCTTCACCTTCATCTACCTGTATCTTCAAGCGCTCTGGCGCCTCGTTCGCG